GAGGGGTAGTTCAAGAGTTGATCTTGGGTGGTGAGGGAACTCATGTACCCTGATCTGATGGGAGAGTGCTGTGGAATCCCAGGGAGTGAACAAGGGAGGGTACTCACCCCATCCCACACAGAAACTGTGCCAGTGAGCAAGGATGGGAAGAGCCTGGCTCTTGCCAGGGTGAAATGGATGCTCGCAAGTTTCTTGGCTCAAGCTGCACTCCCTATTGTAATGAGTAGGGGGAAGAGCCACTGCTCCAGTCCAGCCAGCATGCCTAAGCATTCAGTTATCATGGGAACCAGGGGCTAGGCTAATTTACTCTGAACGCTGCACCCCTTTCCAATATGGCGGTTCTTCAGCAAGGGTGCACTCACAGATCCCTGTTCCTCAGTGCCCCACCACAGTCTCCTGTTGGATATTTCCATGCATGCTTCCTCACCACCTGAGTTCAGGACCAAGACCTCTCCCCTACATCTCCCTGCATCACTCTCATGTGGTGGGCACTGGTCTGACCCACCTGTCTAAACCACCAATGCGCAATTCCACGAAATGTTGGTGAGCAGCAAGCTCAGGAATTGTGGCGGCCTTGCCATAGAGAAGCAGCCATTCATGTACTTCTCAGTTCAAAGTATTCTCATGGTTGCAATGAGTGGAGAGGGGCTGTGGCTACCAGCTGGCCCAAGCTGAAATTATTGTCTCTGATGCCGTAATTGGAGGAGGTTCAAAGGAGGAAGTGTCTAGGTATAGAAAGCTGACACTCCAGTCTCTTGTGGCACTGTCCTGTGGAGTGACCTTTTGAACACCCGAACTCATGGGGTTCTCTGGTTTGCCCTGCTATTCCTATTTAGCTGCCATGCCTGGGCTCATGGAGAGTGGAAGCACATCCAATGTGTTTTATGTCCCACTGTTCACTGAAGGTACCTATGTGGGGGAGGGGAAGCCCCCGTTACCCTTTCACTGGGCTCTGAGTCTCTCGGGGTTTGTGCTGTGGGCCTGTTTTCTCTTCTCTATCTTCTTCTTTCTCACCTTAGCAGTTTTTCTTGGTTGGGTCCCAAGACATCTCTGTTGTCTCTCCCTGTGATCCACACCTGAGCTGCAACTGCTCTCTGCTTTCCTCAGTCCGATATTCTACCTTCCAGCTGGGATGATCTGACAAGCAATGTCTCTAGTCAGCCATCTTGGCTGATCTTCCTTGGAATTGTAATTCTTATGTTTAGAGCAAATTAAAAGAACTAGACCATGAAAAATGGCCTGGGTCTATGTATTGCATCATTCCCCTCTCTGAAAATAGGATCAATGCATTTCATTTACTAACTACACTATCTGATTTGCCTGCATTGGCATGACCCTTAGCAAATTCACAGAATGGAAAGGAGCTTGACA